GCAACTTAAAAGGAACTGTAAAAATGTGTCCAATTATAATAATCATCATCCATGATCGATCCCACTCCGTAAGTTACCCTCACATGATCCTGTGATGCAACAATCCATCCAGCACTTTCAAATGAACCGATCTCATCAATCCATCTCCTTGGTGGATGTCCTCTCGGATGCTCTCCAATTCCTTGGCTGCCACTCCGTGATTATTGCTGACCATCGTCCATCATGTGTTCTCGTGACGTGTCCTGCCCAAGCCCACTAACTTGTATTCATCGTTTGGAGGATGTCGTTAGCCTGTGTGTGATCTCTAATCCACGTGTTCCTCTGTTTGTCTCTCGACGCAGTTCCCCAAAAAATGTCTCTCCGTGTTTATTTTCGCACATTTCTGTTTTTATTCTCCGTCTTGAGTTAATGACCAGGTTTCTGAGCCGTATTGTCATAGCAGGTGGTACGCACTGATTAAAAATTAACCCGTAAAAACAAAGTTTTTCACTATAAATCCTTTATATGCGTGGCATCGGTTTTATTTTATTATTCATTTCTGTTTTTCTTGAGTAAGAGTTTCATTTTTATCACATTGGTATTTTAAATTAAATATAAGGAAAGTCGTATATAAGGACATTGGTCTTTGAAACGGGCAGCTCGAGTCATCTCGTCCTCTGGCTTGAGATGGCTGCCACCTATGGGTCAGATGATTGCCTGCCACCATTAAGCAATTGGTAATTAAATATAAAAAAAAATTCCTAAAAAGTGTAAAATTTTGGAAACATTTTTTCACGAAAATAAATTGTCACGCACAACGAGTCTGTGTGCAAAATGTCAGCTCGATTGGATCACGGGAAGTGGGTTAAAAAACGACCGAAAAATTTGCACGGTCGTAAGCGCGCAAGCAAGCACGCAAGTGAACTTAATATAAAGGATTTAATTTAAAAAACGTTGTTCTATAGGCACGTATATGATCAAATGGAGCATTCTAAAAGCACTCTAACCTGCTTCTGTCCACCTCGATATTTCATTATTTTAGATCCTGCTCCCACCTTTAATCGCTGCCCTAGGTACACGTCCCATGATGTATTTCCAAGTTGCTTGCCTCCAACAGATATCTCAAATTGTTTCCTGAAAATTTTGCGCATGGCAATTGTTCGTCTCATATTTATCCTTGGATGTTCCTTTTTTGTAAACTTATTTTAATTTGTATGAGTACATCTATTTCAGCTGAGTCAAATGCTTGTTCGTCGTCTACAAATGCCAGGCTCAACGATAATCGACATGTATTGATCTATTCCAGGATCTTATTAATAGCGAGTCTGAATGCGGTCGATGGTAGAGAAACCTTTCCGAAACTCTGCTTGCTCGCGTGATTTGTTGGCCTCTAATTTTGTATAATGGTCTCGGACAACTTTCGCGTCGCTTGCTAAGTTTCCCCCCAACTTCATATTAATTCTCCATTACTATGTTAGTTAATTCATCATTTAGAGTGGTGATATATATTCCATCAATTTGATTGCATAGGAATTTGAATTCGTTGATTAGCATAAACCAAAATCAGCCGCCTACTGCCTTGAATTTTGATGTCCCCTTGGTTTTGGCAGCATTTAGTTTTGCCCTCTCCATCGGCTGCGTTGAAAGCGCACAGCTTGCTTGGCGCCCGTCTGCGTCCGTTGCGTGCATTGAATTTCTTGAGGACAGAGACGTCTCTGTCGATCGGGGGTTTGTCAGCTAGAATCAAGTCAATCTCGTTCTTAATTCCATGGGTTTGGGCTTTCTCCACGTCAATTTTCGAGATTAATTAAAAAGAAATATGCATTAATGTCACGTGTGTGCTGACTGTGAACTGTAGGTGACGTTCACACATCTCATTTCCCATTCCAATGCCGAATTTACCACTTGTCTTCTTATCTCTGAAACTTTTACCTTCTTTCGCATTATGGTCACGCATTATGATGTTATATGTTGTGCCTTAATCTCATGTAGTAGTTTCCACAAACGTTTTGTTTGCTACATCCTTGCTGATTGGCTGTTGGAGCGTATACATGAATATTTTTTTTACTTGTAGAATTCGTAGAGCCTTAGTGTGAGCTGAGCAACTCTATACAATGAATACTTGAACCCTAAAACTGATTTCCAGAGATTAAGACTCCCACTCATCCATAACTACTATCCTCTCGCCCTCTTGAATAGAAACGATTGCCACTCTTTAAAAGTATGGATTTTCTTTCTTTTGCACGTCGCTGATACTATCAACAGAATTGTTGAGCAAAAACCATCGCCTGAACTCCAGTCATCTTCACAGCGGCTTTTGGCTAGCCAGTGAACAGAGACCGTGACCGTGTCGCGCACTTCAGATGTGCTCATGCGGCCATCTGGAACGTTTTTCCTACTGATATTAGGAATCCGCTGGAGCTATGCACTTTTAAATCTCGATTGAAAACTCGTTTCTTTAAGAACTGCTTCTTGTATTTAGTTTGTTTTCATCCCTCGCACCTCCGTATGGTTGGCTACGTAAAGTGTGAAAGTAGTTCAACGTACACACACCCGTGCGTTGTGCGTAGCGAGGGCGTCCTGCTCATGCCCAGCGATTCTTAGCGCCCCCCCCCCCCCTCCTGCTCCTTCACCCGGCCAGGGGACCCAGCGCCACCGGGGAACTCGAGGGGCCGTGGATTAGGCGCGTCGATCATGGCGCGGAGTTGACCATACTTTACCACGCTGGTCGGTGCAGGCTTGGTGAAGGGAACACCTCTTGGTGCCTGACGGGTCCGCAGAGGCACCTGAGACTCACCGCCCAGACGACGAGGCAGCGCTCCGTCCAAGACGTCGTCATCCAAATTATGAGAGAGAGAGAGAAAAAGTTCAAATGTGAACAGGAGACAACAACAATGTTACATTAATTGCACTTCATGTGAACACATTGCAAAGAGTGGAGAGAAAATAAATAACCTAATATGCATGGACGTGGCTAAAAGGTCTTAGATTTTATAGCTGCTTGCATGTTGTCCATCGTGTATTTTATCCACTCATAAGATCTGGCTGAATGGCTGTTTCTAATTTTTTGAAGGAGCTGATGTTATGGATTTTTTCCTTAAAATTGTTTCCAGTTTACAACGTTTCATTTTCTGTATCCTCCTTTTACCACCCTTGAAAAAGAGGTTCAACGCATGACAAATATTAATTGGAGTGCAGTGAAGACATGGCTGCGTATGTCCAGTGTGAATGAGTTGCGTTTGAATCGAGGGGAAATATCACTGTCAGCGGACTGCCACATGTGCCACTGCCACATGTGGACTGCCACATGTGCCACTGCCACATGTGGACTGCCACATGTGCCACTGCCACATGTGGACTGCCACATGTGCCACTGCCACATGTGGACTGCCACATGTGCCACTGCCACATGTGGACTGCCACATGTGCCACTGCCACATGTGGACTGCCACATGTGCCACTGCCACATGTGGACTGCCACATGTGCCACTGCCACATGTGGACTGCCACATGTGCCACTGCCACATGTGCCACTGCCACATGTGCCACTGCCACATGTGGACTGCCACATGTGCCACTGCCACATGTGGACTGCCACATGTGCCACTGCCACATGTGGACTGCCACATGCCAATACAGGAGTAGCAGGTACAACACACTCAAGGCATGCTGCGTTGCATTCGATGCTCAGAATCTTTAAGCTGCTGACTGCTGATTTACATGGCACCCCTGCCCTTTGGCACTCACAGACCATGTCTTCCGTTCAATTATTCATTCAGATCCTAACTTTCATTCCACACAGTTGGAGCTCAGTTGTATAGCGTCAATAAAAAGTGGGCATTCTGCGGTGCGGAGCCCTAACGATCCAGAAACGAACGCACAGGATTTTTTAATTATTCACTCATCAGGTATATCGACATGTAAAATTGCTTAGGCTTGCAGTAAATTATTTTATTCGCAGACCAATTATGTCAATAAAATGATATCCAAGGGCATTGTCAGCAGCAGCAGCAGCCATGGTTAATCCACTGCTGGATGAAGGTCTCCCCATGCCATCGTCATCTCCCATGATCCCAGTAAACATGCAAAGATGGAACCATTGGACCAACGTTGGCTCAACGTCCCTTGTTTACTGGGATGCTGTGATGTACCGTGTAGCATCAATGAAGAATAATTCGGGCAACTATGAAAAATCGTATATACAGCCCAAAGATCCCTAACCCAGAAACAAACGTCCGTTGCTGCATCCAATCACGTACGAGTGTGCTGGAAAAAAATAACAGTGCCCAGTTGAAGCTATTGGGAAAATAAATGAAACAGGATTAGCGTCGTTTTAAGAATGGAACGGTACGTCAATCGTGTAAAAACCGCCGAGGTGGGGCAGGGTGAATGCGTGCATTATATATATTATAAAAAAAAACTACGCAACTTATGCCATACAGTGTGTCATAAAATTAATGATAGGGTATAGGCTTTGCATTATTAAGCACGGGCTAACATAATTGTGCGTTCCTTAAAATAGGAGTGTTGCGTCACACATTGCATGCGTCCCGCCTGCCACGTGGTCTCACCTCGCACCGGCCAGCGGTCGGCTGCCGATGTTGACACTCATCAACGGGTTACTTCACCGTAACCTCACCGTGCCGGTCAGTGTGGAATGGTGAAGCGGGGCCCAAGACCATTTCATATCGCGCTTTCCACTGATGTTCGCTGTGGACAGGATTCACACTCGGATCACCGGTTCATAGGGCAGTGCGCTAAGCGCCGCATCGCCACTTTCTGCGGCCGTCTGAAACGCTCTTCTTTTTGATATTAGGAAGCCAGTGAAGTTGATGCACTTTTAAATCGTCTAGTTTGAAAACAAATTTCTTTAACGCTGCTTTTTATGTTTAGTCTGTTGTCCTTCCCCCGTACCTCTGATTAGCATGGTTGGCTATGTGCAGTGCGAAATAATTTCATGAAACAAATGCTAATTGTGCAAAACTGCCGGTGTCTGCTCTCTTCTGCTCTGTCCATTGCAGATCGTCGCACTGGCCTCACTTCCTGTTCATTTTAATTTCCATCACGACGTTCTGCCTTGAAACGCACGAAGCATTCAACACGGTACTGAACAAGACGGAAAATTACACCTGTCAACAACGTGACGACCCAAAAGGTATACATCGACGTGGAGACCGACCCGGTGCTCATGTACGTGGAGGGCGTGTGCGTGGCGTGGTTCTCTTTCGAGTTCCTCGTACGAATAATTTGCTGCCCCGACAAGAAGGTGTTCATCAAGAACTACTTGAACGTCATCGACTTTGTGGCCATCCTGCCATTCTACCTGGAGGTGGGGCTCAGCAGCCTGACCTCGAAGCCGGCGCGCGACGTCCTCGGCTTCCTGCGCGTCGTCCGCTTCGTGCGCATCCTGCGCATCTTCAAGCTGACGCGCCACTTCGTGGGCCTGCGCGTGCTGGGCCACACGCTGCGCGCGAGCATCAACGAGTTCCTGCTGCTCATCATCTTCCTGGCGCTGGGCGTGCTCATCTTCGCCACCATGATCTTCTACGCCGAGCGCTTCGGCGCCAACCCCAACGACCCGACGGCGAGCGACCACACGAGCTTCAAGAACATCCCCATCGGCTTCTGGTGGGCCGTGGTGACGATGACGACGCTGGGCTACGGGGACATGTACCCCCAGACGTGGTCGGGCATGCTGGTGGGGGCCCTGTGCGCGCTGGCGGGGGTGCTCACCATCGCCATGCCCGTGCCCGTCATCGTCAACAACTTCAGCATGTACTACTCGCTGGCCATGGCCAAGCAGAAGCTGCCAAAGAAAAAGAAGAAGCACATTCCCCGGCCCCCCCAGGTCGGGTCGCCGCACTTTTGCAAGTCGGACATGAACTCCTCGAGCCACAGCACGCAGAGCGACACCTGCCCCCTCGCTAAAGAGGAGATTTCAGAGCTTAATAGAAAAGGTAGGGGATGGATTGAGTGTGCCAATCGGCTCGTTTGAGCATGCTTCCTCGGCTGCGTGTGCCCATCTCCCGCCTGCTCCCTATGCTCCTTACTTTTTGCGGTGTGCATGCCAAATAATTGCCGAGCTCTTTGAACGCCCTCCCCCCTCCCGAACTGAATGCACTAACAAATCCGTTATCAGAAATATCGGTATTGTCCTTTACTGTATGTCCACCTATACGACGTAACTCTACGTGCCTACGGCTTTATGTTGCTGTGTCGAGCCAAACCGTGTCTGCATATGTGCGTCCCCCAAAGCGAAATATTTTGGTAGAATCGTTTTTTAAATTTGTGTTAATGGAATGACGGACAAAAATTATTACCTAATCGGTCCACGCTATTGAGATGCAGTGGATACCACGCTAACAAAGTAAAAGGGGTGTTAGTTGAGAATACAACGTGCAACTCAATTACAATACTGTACAGTATTGGATTATACCGGTATGAATGTGCATGACTTGTACAAACCGCGCACGCACGCGCGCACGTTGAATTGAAAACGAGCAGCGTTTTTGTCGTTTGTTTTTCAGAGCAGCAGTTAAACACTTAACTTGACAGGTGTGAAGTGACGTTGAGTCACAATTAGACTCCGCTTAATTCGGGCTGAATTTAAACAATCTCAGTTTTTTCCGATGCCTGGTCGAAGAATTTTCAAACCCGAGTCGGTTCCAAAACTCTCATCTGGCATCGGGCGAGTTGTACTCGTTCAGGGGGTCTCTCGACTGCCGGTGACTCGATGTGAGTGCTCAAGCAAATGCTGCGCAAACTCCACCTTCGGTAGGAGCGCCTCGTCAAGGGCAATTGGTGAAAAGTTGCTGAGAACGACGCCGCCGCCTGCTTCAGTGGCCCGATGCAGTCACGCCCCAGGTCTCCCGGTTCTTCTGGGAGCTATCGTTGACACGCGTGCCACGGCCGATGAAATCAACACAGGGCACAGCTGTAACGCAGAGCTGCCAAGTTGACCTTTTCCCAAATAAAAACTAATTATTCGATGACACTGCATGGGCAAGTGGTGCATAAGCACACACGCACACATATATTAAACAACTCAACACGTTTTGTTAATAACACTGTGGTCTTTAAAGGAAACGTATATAATCGACAATGTTTGTGGCAATAGCCGTTCTTCAAAGCACATGTAACGAGCGATGAATTGTACGTGCCATGAAGAAGGTCCATTGCCTGAAACGTCACCTATTGTATATATTTCTTTTTAAGACCACGGTGTTATTTACGATTGTATTGAGTTCCCCCCCCCCCCCCGAATGGGACATTTCCCTACTAAATTGGAGGAAATGTGTCAGGACAAGCTAATGGTAGCAAATGCCTTGATACTTAGCCAACTGATCCATCAGAGACACATTCTACCCTTCCACAAGGCCAGTCGCCAGTCCATTACCAAATGCAAGAGCCTAAAAGGAAAATCGTGTCCAACGTGTGATCGTTTATTAATAAGTCGTTACTCTAAGTCACCTGGGATGGACTCTAGTTTCTGAAACCACGTGGCATAGTGTTTCCCAAGCACATGTGACGAGAGGATACATTCAAGAGAGGTTTCATTGCCCTGCCTAACAAACATGCAATACAATATATGAAACCAGTGCATGTGCAATTACACACACACACACTTGCACCATACACGATATATGAACAGACATATGAACGTACATTGAGAGTCAAAGTGTCCCAAAGTTTAAATGAACATTGAGACAGCATTCTTCTCTGTTCGTGGCTCTGATTCAGTGGTAAAATGCCACATTCACATGGCAAGGGGCTATTTAGTACCTATTTAGGCGACCACTGCTGGCTTCCTACAACGTGGTATCAATTTTATCAACCCCAGAGGAATGATAGGTTGAGTCCACCTACAACCAGGATTTAAACTCACAACGATCCAATCGTTAGTCCCTACAGCACGACTTGGCTGAATGACATATACACAAATACTACAAATACATGCATTGTATTCACTAACAGCAGTTATGCTATACATACTGTAAATGCAATTACATAGACTCAATATCAAGGTGTCACCATATGTATCGCTAGAATTTGGCAGTGCTCTTTCCCATTGCGAGCCCAAAGTCAATCTTGTAATTCCACCATTCTACGGCTAGGACCAGCCAGTTAATGATGTGAGAATATCTGACTTATCACCAAGTGATGCGGTATCTATTTTACCCTCCCCAGAAGGATAATGATGTTGATGATGGGTGAAGTCAACCTTGATTCAGATGTTATCTGGCAATCTTTGCGTCATGCGATCACCGCTCTGCTGACTGAAAGTAGCCACCATTGCGTAATCATTAACCAAGGGGGAAGATGTAACTCCGCTAAAGCCTCGAGACGCCTGTCGGAGTGAGTGCTGTTAGTAGCCAGGACCTATCAAGGCCAGATGGGCACACAAAGTGGTGGTGTGTCAACAGCACACCTGATCAGTCACATTTGTTACCCCAGTGATAATGTTTGTTCACGCAGAAAATACAGATATAGCATTCATACATAACAACCACACTAATACTGTACCTGCACTTCTCATCAAGACAGCATTATCTAAAATGCAAACAAGCATGGGGAACAATGCAGTTGACTACGGCAGTGACTTCGTATTGATCAGCAAAAAAAGCGCACGACAAATGCGATGAACATTATTACAAAAGTCCCAGCGTCTATCTGGCTCTAGTGGGCACTGAATGGATGCCGTCTCTACTGGTGCCCCTGAGCCAACGATGGGAATTCCATGTTTATGCCACGGTGGCCGACCAGCCTGATCACGGGGAGACCAGTGAACCAACGTCATGACGGGGCCGTATGAGCCCTCACCGTCACCACACAAAGGTAGCAAAATGGCCTCGCCGAGCGCGTTAAACTTGTAGGCGTGGTAACGTCCCACGTGGGGCAAAGTCACTTCCCAAGTCTTGGAATGGCCGTGCGCGAGGGGCGATCGGAAAGTCTGTGACCTGACGTAGAAGTAGTGGCACTGCGGCAAAAAAGGATGAAGGTTCACGTGACAGCAAGTTTATTTTAAATGTAAAAGCTATCTTATAAAGTTATGCACCCCGTAAATTGTATGGGTGTTTGCGATCGTTTACACGAGGATTCCCTACAACATATCAGTTATGGGGATAGATTGACCAAATTCATGATAAAGGTTTTTGGGTTAGATCGTGTAAGTATAAATGTGTCGAAACCCTCCATGATGCTGGCATGTAATTACCAGCGAAAGTCATACTTAGATTGTAAATGTTGTAGATTCACTCTTCAACACACCGGTGGGCTGAAGTAGTAACTATTTGGCGTTTTGTTTACGTGAGAAACCTCTAACTGATTGGCCGTGTCGGGTGGTGTAGGGTTTCAACACATTTATTCTTATGCGATCTAACCCAAAAATGACAATATGGACATCTATAAAGTTCAGATAATCGGAAGAGAGTCCATAAGGACCTGGCAGGTGATTCTTTAACTCCACAGGTAAATAATCACTTTGCAAGGAAAGCATTATTCTTGTGACGATGAAGCGATGTGCACTCCAATCCAGTGGTTCGAGCTCTTCTTGGCAGGGATTAAAGTGTTTTGATATCAGTGATGAGGATGCAGATGATGCACCAGGTGCAGTGCTTCATCAAGGTCACACTACCAATTGCTCTGTATGCCTAGGCCACGGGCTCTTGTATTGCTCCTCCTGTACACAATTAGTTCCAACAGGCCTGCCGGCCACAAACACGAGGTCGGATTCGGCACGTAGCGTACTCGACCAGTGAACGTCACACAGAGTGCAGCGTTCCGTGCCCTGGTCCTTCTGTAGTCTGCATGAACTCGTGGGTTTGCTGCCCAAGTGCCACATATGGCACAGTAAGCCATTAACACGCAGCCATTCAGATCCCACCAGGCGCAGTCATCAAGCTCACGACAATGCTTTGGAACTTCGCAATAATAACATAAATGTATGGTAACACTGTTGATGCATACTAGATCATGTATTTAACGTAGGACGCTATATTGCTCGTAATTATATGCAAATGCTGTGAAAACAACAACGATTATAGTAATAATATCGTTCATGCAAAAAAAGTTGTAAGATATCTATTCTGTAGTCGTCATGGTATTCGCTTAATTAAGATTTCTAAGAGGCGCAATTATTCATTTTTTAAATGAAGTGCACATTGTAACTTTACTATTAAAACTATGAGAATATTTTTTTTCCATATAAAACTAGAAACTATTCGTATTTTACCAGGTAAGGCCCACTCAGCTATATCGCTCTTTTTCAGAAGCAAACCTGGCCACAAGTGATAGCTCAAAGAAGTTGCGTATCATATGGGAATTAATAGCGGACGAATATTCTAAAGGCATGTTTTATTAAATGTGGAGGGAAAACCGGAGGGCCTGGATACAAATCCACCCGGCCGAGAGGTATGACGTGTAAATGCTAATGCGGTTGTGAGACATGCGTTTGAAAAATAATCATTTAAAAGCTCATCATAATATTTTAACAAAAATTTGAATATATATACCTGCCAATATAATTTCCAACTTAAGAAATGTTATAAAGGTGGCCGTGTTGCTTCAGGGGGGATGGGTCAACACCGCTGAGATCCAAAGTTTGATTCTCAGACACCAACTCGTTTCACACTTGGACATCATTCTCAAGTTCGCGTCATTTCAATAGCCACTGTCAATGGTGCAAAACCCAATGCTAAAAGTGCCCCCTTGACGCAGCTTATTTGACAGGTAGGCAGCAGGCACAGAAGTAGTGACTTTGCAGTATCGTAGCTACGTGAAGGATATCAGCAGAAGATGTGTGATGTCACCTGGGCCATTCCCATCGTGTGAAATGTAGCTTATACGGTCACAGGCAGAGTCGTATTTCTATGCCTGAATGCTGATGGCTCTTTTCTGATAATACTTCTCAATATTATTGAGGCAAAACATTTTCAGATTTCAAAATGCTATTAAGAGGGTATCATTAAATAGAAGAATAAACATTCCACAATGAGGGTTTATGTTCCTGGTCTAATAAAAATAATGATTTTGCATCAAGCGACCATATGAGCATGATTATGACTTCACATTAAAATGAATCACAACATAATTCTAATAACTTTCATATTTTGTAGATAATTGCTTCACAGCTGCTATCATTTCTAATATACTGTATAATAAGTACAGGTTTGATAAATACTATAGTTGTTTTCCAATTTTATATTAATCTAGGTTGTATTCCTTTGAATATATATTTAACTGGTTACATTTTCCATCCGTATAAAACGCTGGCAGTGGTAAAGTGGGCTAAACTTAAACCATTTCATAGACCATGTCATCAACCCCACAATATTTAATCAGGGAACCTTTCATGAATACAGTGACACGTGACCTATTTTCAAGATCAAATTTGACATTTAGAGCATAGTGCTGTAAGCAATCACTTCTGAATACTGTAGTAGTGCAGTAATTTTAAAATGCTAAACTAATTATAAAGATTAAGTTCATCTTACTTAGGTCTCAAAGACCTCGCGCATTTATATTCTCTGTTGCCAATTTCTTACGAGTCCCAACAGTGCCAAATTTAGCGAGCTGCAAAACTGTATTTGCGTGACCTTTTTGTCGTACGCGAAATGATCTTTGGCATCTATAAATGACCGAGATATGGCCAGAGTATCACACTTCCTTGGAACACAATGAACGGAAAATAATTGCAATGTGCAATTTCAGTGCGTGCTTATTCAATCAGATTCCACGATGTCATGCACTTTATTTGCATCCGCAAATTAGAAAAACAAATATCTAAAGAGCAACACTTACAACTGCTTTTGCTAGTCATTTTCAGCTACGTCTGAGATACAGAAAGTACATTTTGTCTGAAATTACGCAAGATAAACTATAACGTTTTTTTTTCATTTCTAATCTCTGACTTGAATATCTATAAAAGCAGTACGATGTTAATGAATAATAATTAACCGGTGTGCATTTTGAAACACACCTGTTCAGTTGGCTTTATTGGAACAGTAGGTTTTAATCCTGCCTGGCATTGGCACTCCGCTAAAACATTGATATTAAACTTTCCTGTTACGTTAACGTTCACGTACATGAATGCTGCACGTTTTGCGCATGTGTGCCAATGTTTGACAATAAATCCCATCTGGTCGCATTTGGTTAACAACTGGTATCACCTTTAAAGGGTGCATTTGATGTCGTACGTATACAGCACGCCGCATGGAGTGCATACATCTGCTCAGGAAGTAAAGCATACAGTCATGACAGGAAGGATTAAACAGACAATCTCCAGGTTATATATAAGGCAGTCAGGCTGTAAATGTCAACTCCAAGCCATGTGGCTGCTTTGGAATAAAAACCACCCCCACTTTGATTTCCACAATGGGCCACATCCGAATTTTTGTTTCAGTACCTTTGTTAATGCGTGGCCAATTCAGATGTACAAATTATTTAAAGTTTTCCATGAAGTTCATATTGAACGTAAAAAAAGATATGTACATCGGTACGGTTGTTCACACTGTGACATTGGCTCTGCAACGCTTCAAGCAAGCTGACGCAAGCTAGCCCGTGTTGCTCATCAAACGGATGCGCTTAATCCCGGGATTGTGACCGATTGCCTGACGCATGGCTGTGATCGAAATGCATGTATATATATTATCGCGTGCGCGTTGTGATATTCGCTTTGTTGATCCGGAGAAGCTGATGCTCGCTTGTTGTCGTCGTTTTTGGGCCCTATTATAATTAGTAGTGCAGCAGACCTGGCAATTGATTCTGGCGCTACTTCAGTCACCCTCTATTTCGTGGAAATGGAAAGGTCCCAGCCACCCGGTGCATCAATAAGTGTAGTGCATTGGCTGCACACACAATATATTTACGACGTTTGTTGAGGGTCAATATGTAGAGCATCGATTGCAGAATACATATATATAACAGTCAGATTTTAGAATAAAGGCTCCAAAATGAGTCACATAAATAAATCGGCACCATTTATATCAAGACCGCGTGATAAAATGTTTTTTAAATTAAATTCAGTGCAATGTCCCAAGAACTGTGTATGCTAATGTACTAAAAGGTTGCCTGTTTATTTTCAAGCCTTTGATGGCTTTGTTGCTGTACAATACATTCCAATTCGTCGCATAAAAAAATCATGTTTATGCATTTCGCATGCACGATTGATGTGATTATTTAGATTTTTTTTCCCGTGCGTCAATTAACAAGAAGGAAGCGTTTTCTGTCGTGAGTCCAGGAGCATTGGCGGAGAGTAATTAACGTTGCAATGAATAGTACACACCCAGGGGGTAAAATAAAACCTGCTCTAAAGTTTGCCTTGCGCTTGCGATCAAAGTGAACACTGCATCGTGCTTGAATTGCCTTGTGCATGAATTGATATAAATTGTCGAATGAATGTAGACAAAACAAATATCTGCCTGCTTGCAATTGCGTGAATCTAAGGTCCAAGGCCTCATTTCCCATCCTGTTGATAATCATATCAAAATGTGTTCTCCTGGCATGGATATCGCCGTTTGTCTCTTTGCTTTGTTTTCCAAGTCTGGAAGGCGATGATTTTAATATATTTTTAAAAATTGCTGACCTTTTGATTAACCTCGATGGCTTGTGCCGTCCTTTTCCTTCCTGCATCACTGCATTGTAACTGCACGCACGCGAGCGCGATGTGCGCCTGTTGATTTGTACCGCTTAACGTTTTTTTGACTGATTTTTGCATCGACCTTGACCCTTGACTCAAAAGGCAATTGCCGTGAATCTTCTCTATGCATTCTCTCGAAACAAAGGTTACGAAAAGTCACGAAGCTTGAACAACATTACTGGCCTGGCTGGGAACCCCCTGGGCATCTCTCCCCTCAGCTCGCCCTACACCTCTCCGTGTCCACTGCGACGGTCACGCTCCCCCATCCCGACCATAATCTGAAGGTATCGTCACGGCCAGCCCCGGGCCCACCCAGCCCCGGGCCCACCCAGCCCCGGGCCCACCCAGCCCCGGGCCCACCCAGCCCCGGGCCCACCCGGCCCCGGGCCCACCCAGCCCCGGGCCCACCCAGCCCCGGGCCCACCCGGCGTCGAGCGGGCGCACGTCCCCGGACGATCGCGCTCCACGTTCGCCAACTTACGATCGCGGACAGGCATGGTGAAGGGGGGGGGGAGGAATTGCCACCACCACCGCCATCATCGCCAACGTAAGAGCTGCGACGTAACGTCTCAACATGTACAGTAAGATGAATTAACGGAAATAGCTGTGTATAACGAATTTAACTTATTTTTTCAGAAAATCCGCTATTTTAAACGTGTAGAGGGAGACTGACTCCAGGTGTCCGAGATAAGCCAGGGTATGTCTAATTGTGTTTCATTTTATTAAGCGTTTTTATTTCGAGGGTACGGAATGGATGAAATGTTTGTACTCTTGCGTGCCGATGCTGCGGAGTAGGCAGACGTTTGTAGCACAAGGCTTTTAAAGGTCAACCTTGACATGTGTTCCCATGAATGTATTAAGCAAGTCTTGCTGTGATCACCAAAGAATGGAGACCACACATTTGAAGAGACTGTCCGCGGGATTGGAGCTACTAAATAACTGCTTGGATATGTGTGTTTTTGCAAGAGAAGCAATTGAATAGAACTGCCCTGCCATGTTAAATCAGGTGGTTGAAGGAATGCGTACAGACACAAGGAAGGGTCGAAAATGTATGTTGACATTAAGAGCCCCATGGAGGCGAGATGTTTACTACCTCGCCTGGTATACAGGAGGCCATAGGTTCGATCCCGACCCTAACGCCTCTTGTATATTTGGAGTTTGCGTGTTCTCCCCATGGTCGCGTGGATTTTTCTCCGGGTCCTCCGGTTTTTCCCTCCGCATTTATAAACATGTGTTTAGAGTATTTGGATGCGATACATTTCCACGTGATTAGCCAGTTTGTTGAGCTATCATTTGTAGCCACGTCGCTTCTGGAAAAAAGAACGATTTAGCTCAATAAGCCTTACCTGGTGAAATAAAAAAATGTTTAGTTTTTAAGGGTACAAAGAAAAGCTTTTCCAGATCATCGAGTGTTAATGTTGCCTATCAATGTGCTATTCACGTGCATCGCTAAAAGCACATTTGCCAAAACCTCGGACTGCTTCCCATGAACAAAGGAACACATCACCGTGTGGCCAGGGCTGTGATTGACTATTGCATCTGTTAATATTGAAAACTTCCACTGCCGTCCTTGCAGAAGCAACATCAATAGCCCACGTGTCTATGGCCTTGGCCAGTATGAGCGTGTGAATTCCTTTAGGGTGAGCACATTAATGTGGTAGGGGTTCGTCAAATTATTTTTGCAACAACGCTGTTGACAAGACGGTTACGTTTTTGGGAAATTTTCGAAATAGCTATCCCAATCGTTCGACAGGATTTGGAAGATGATATCACAAGATGATGTACTGTATCATTTACACTAATATACATTATCATGTACACTATTATTTTATCATCTTTGTAAATTATATCGACGTAAATATGCTCCTTTAAATTTTTCCTTTAAGTTATTTCCCTGCATAAACGTATCGTTACATCTCATATTTTGTATTGCTGCAAAAATATCAATAGCAGTTGTTTGACTTACACTTATTTCAATTACATGATGTGCATTTCTTAATACAGTGTACACAAACTGCAGCTTAGTTTTCCCATAGAGGTGACGAAAAACGATGTTGATAATCACGACGACAATCACAGCAATGATAATTGATGAATCGATGACCATTAAACAGCCAAACAAATTATTTGGTGGATCATACGTTGGCAGCAGTGTACGAGCACAAACAACAACAACAACAATAAACTCAGTCATCAATAATACTGCCTTAAAAAATAAAAATGATACGCAACGTTTTGAGCAATAGCTCTTGTATGTGTGTTGAACGTATTTCGCACCGCAGGTAGCCAGCCGTGCTAATCGGAGGGCCCTTCTTTACAGCACACACAGAGAGAGAGGCATTCTTACCTCGCTCGCCTCTCTGTGCAGAGCAGAAGGACAATCGCCCAAAACGTTGCCGAAAATATCATTTTTTTCTCTTTTGAAGGCAGTCTTATTAACGATTATATTAACTCGTATTTCATAATAAAGGTTTTTTGGGTTAGATCGTGTTATTTATTAACGTGTCGTAATTCTCCACTACCCGACACGGCTAATCAGCAAAAAAGTGTCACGTTGACAAAGACAAATAGTTAAATAATATTGGTCGCGAAAGCCTACGTGTTAAACTAACTTGCATTTCTTCACATAATTAAGAACAGTTTCGCTGTATTTACACAGATGCCTCATTTTATAAATGTGGCCAACAAAGTGATGAAAATATGAGTGATATGTATTACTTGTTATGATGTCCCAGTGGCAGTAGGTGCCACAGGATTTGCTTTGCCGTTGCATTAACGCATTGCTCAAGTTAAATTAATGTATGATCATAATGATGATGATGAGAGAGGTAATTAGTGTAGAAGTTACTGCTGGGAAGAAGAAAAAAACGGCTGGAAATCAGTTAATAGTTGCAGAGTTTACGTTGTTGGAAAGGATACATGGTGACGATTGTCGTTCATTTAATTTGCTTTGGTACCAGTCACTTTATCTTCCAAATCCTCAAATGCATACGATTTAGACTCATTGTCAGTCGACTTGTAAAAGAAACCCAACCGTAATAGACAACCGAAAGAGGTTTAAACTTTGAAATTGAGGGAGAGGAGTGCAATGACATCCTTGTTGTAATAATATTGCCGTGTATAAGTATTGTATTTACTTTTATTGCATGGTGTGCATGACAAGACCTGTCCAAATATCACGTTGGAATTTCCCTGCTGCTTCCTCCTCTGAATTTAGTTCCGTGTGCGTTTTATTTTTAGCCTTCAAATTAGAATGAAAGTTTTTTTTTAATCTGAGAGAGAAAAAAATTTGCGTTTTAATTTCCCTTTTAAATGTTAGAATGTTGCATTAATTTAAAGGCGCAAGGACCCTTTGGTGGGGTGTTTGTTTTCTTTGCCTATGGTTTCATTCTTTAAGCGTAAACTGCCGAGTAAAATGTCGTTCAAATTATTTCCATGATGTGGTCTTCGTTAGGATGCTTGTCTTGTCCATCATGTCAAAATGTCGAGCATGCACAAAACAATTTTCTCCGTGTATTGTATCATATTTACTGACATTATATGCACACATAGGAAAAGGTACGAAAAAAATACGTATAAAAAAACACTGAAAATTACAGTGGTTTAGAGTAAAACAGTGCATACCAATTGTATATGCGTGCGTATTGTATATGTGTGCACAGACTTAACCGCTGTACGAACTTGTAGAAGCAATGCGCACATATATAGAACGCATGTATAGCACGTGTAAACATAACACTTAGTGGCTATGATGGCATTTTTACAAAAAAAAATGTAAAAAATAACAACGCTAAAAAAAATGTTTCATCGCTTTATGAGCGCAAACGTGGAATTGTCCGTCGCACTGTGGCTACGGCACAAATAACCCAGCGTTTGAGACACTCAATACGACATGTATCTATCTCGAGTTGACATATACACTACCTGTGCAATGTACAGTACGTTATCAATTCAAGCATGTTAGAATATGCAAACGCTTCGGCATTGGATGTTTTTTGGTCTATGTACATCTCTCCGATCATTGCCAGTGTCGATACCGAGCCTCCGTGTGTTAAACGTCAAGATTGTGCGCTATACAACTGTCATACAGCATACTTGTTTAACGGCGGGAAATAAATATTTATACATGTTACCATGTCCGGGCTCTCTCGTGCTTTGGCTGTGGTCGTTTTGAAGGCGAAACGCAGAAGCACCTCAATGTCACGGAGACATCCGGCTCAGACGAGAAACAATGAGCAGCTCCTAATGACTAAGTCAAAAGTCTAAGCGTCTCTGTGCTGAACCAAGCCTCGGGGTAATGTCCATCCCCCTCGGCGGGTCCGAGACAGAGACGGGAAGTCCACGTTCCCAACGTAGGGCAAGTTAGTCTACGTGATAGTCGGTGTTGATTTGTCACACAGGGGTGCTAATTTTATATACCATGATAGGATGATTGGCTGAGTCGACCCACTTATATGAACGATATTTGTGACGAAAAAATGTTCATGGAAATATTGGGATTTGCCCTGGAAGATAATCTATTTAAAGGGCTGTCTGCACATAGAATTGATTTTAATTTTGAAATATTTAAACAATTCTACAAAGGGTTTTATTTCTTAAGGCATTCGGTGATTTGTACTTCAAGTAATCAGCAGAGAAAACATGGAATGCCATCGCTTTCACAAGCAAGATATGGATTACAATAACTACAATATAATATTTTGATTTAAAGCTTTCGTGACTGCAGGGATTCATAATCTTGGTTCTTTCGGTAAAATTACGTAGAAGGGAAATAATAAAATAATACAAATATTAAACATTGATTTTTATTGTTTTATATTTGTATTATTTTATTATTTCCCTTCTACGTGACTTTACCGAAAGAACCAAGAATACAAAATAATAGTCTATCTGTTCAATTAGGCACGTTTCATTATGTGGAGACAGGAAATGAAGATGCACCCAGAGGTCAATGACCACGTGGAAGACCTAAAGCCAGAGAGCTCTCCTCCACCCCCCACGTGTCCCGCCACAGCACCGTCGCCTTCCTCATTATGTCTGCATAACGATATTTCCGCCTTATAAATCAAACTGCCCCCTTGCTTACTGCCATCCTCCTGATGAACCCCTATTACCCCCTGCACGCACCGATATTGGAAGCAGCCAGGGAGCTTATTTTTTATTTGCTTTATTAAAGTCCATCTTCTCTGACCTATTGCAATAGCACCGACATTACTACTGCCTCAACCAACCCACGTGTCAACAATAGGCTGTCATTTTATGCCCGTGTTGTTTTAGCCGGAACCCCCAAATTAAAATCATCCTGGCGGCTAGACAACAAAAGAAAGCCACACGGCAATTGACCACTACGTGGCCATGGAAACATGTGGCTCCATCCTAAAAACATAATCAATCTCAATGAAACCTGAATGTAAACAAGGAGCATCAAACATCACGCAAACTTCGACCATCCTCACAGCGGCCTGTGGCTGGCCATCGAACAAAGACGGACACTTGCATCGTTCGCTATGAGATATGCTTCTGTGGCTGTCCCCGAATGTTCTTTCTTCCGATATTAGAAAGCCACTGGAGCTATGCACTTTCAAATCTGCATTGAAAACCCATTTCTTTACAACTGCCTTTAGTGTTTAGTTTGTTGTCCTTCCCCCGCACCTCCCATTAGCACCGTTGGCTACGTACGGTGCAAAAGAAGTTCTACATACATACAGGTTGTCCACAAAGGTGTTGTCCATTATTCAAGGATTATAATTAGACATCAGCTTGAGCTTTGCCAATACAACTAAGCACACACATATACTTCGGGATATGTTATCGTGGAAGTCTAATTGATATAAACCTCAATCTTAATTTTGGAGCTTTCGTGACTGCAGGAATTATTCTTTGGTTTTTTCGGTAAAATAAAATAATAAATTAAATAATAGCATTGCTTGTGTTGCAATCGAAACGTCGTATGCTATTATTTAATTTATTACTTTATTTTTATACGTGACTTTACCGAAAAAACCAAAGAATGATATAAACCTCCATGAGTAATCTCCATGGCCCTGGTGACATGCGCTTTATCAAGATTTTAGACAGACCCCAGGTGTTCACCGACATAGAGGATTGTCATTGTTTCAAAAGTTTCTGTCGTGTTCTGTTGAAAATCACTCAAGTATTTTGGCTAAGCCTAAAATCTGTGCAAAGAATATGTTGCCAACATATCAACGATGCAGTTCAGCCTTCTGTATGAGTATACGTCTTTAATAATTATTCGAATTATTATAATAATTATTAATAATAATTATTAATAATTATAATAATTAGAGACGTATAATAATACGTCTTTAACAATTATAATGGACGATGGGTCCTGGTGGCTTGAGGGGGCCTTTATCCAGCAGCTGATTGACCACAGATGGTGATGATGATGATGAATAATGGATGAGACCTTTTAGATCATCGTGCATGGCATACAAAATCAAAGGCTCCCGCGCGTGCTGTTGGCCACCCACCCCCTCGCGTGCCGTGCCGGCCTTCATAGGTGCTCGCTAACAGCACTTGCCCCGACAGTCCTGTTAATAAGCTTGCACGGCAAAGGTTGAGGTGCCACAGGCTGCCTCGGGTCCCTCGCCCGCCACGAACCAGCCAAAGGTACAGCACTTTCGGGTACAGTCTACCCGCGAACGGCCAAAACTGACAGCCGCGATGGCTAAATCGGTACACAAAGATACTCTTTGGTTCTTTCGGTAAAGTCACGTAGGTAGAAAATAATAGATCGGACGTTTCGATCGCAACACAAACGACCGTCATCAGGTGGGACAATCACAGCAGGGAAACTGCTGAGCAACATACTCTTAGGTTTATTCGGTAAAATCACGTAGGTAAAAAAGAAATAAGAAATAATAAAAAAATATTAGAAAAAATAATAGAAATCAAACAATTATTTAATTTAATTATTTTTATTTTATTTCAAAAATTTTTTTCTTAATTATTTTTTGCCTACATGACTTTACCGAAAAAACCTAAGAGTATGAATTCTTGCAGTCACGAAAGCTTCAAATATAGAATGCTGAGCAACAGGCGGACACATAGAGGCTGCCCGCGATCGGTCGAAAACCGCGAACGATAAACCCGCGATATTCAACGGGGACCCATGTACTGTGACCACAGATGTTTAGACTCAGACGTCACTCGACTAAATCTGCGCGTCCCCTTGAAGATCGGATGACGTACTGTGTGCAAAGGCGGCGGCAGAGGGTCTCAGCAGCATCAGGCACGGCGGGGGGGCGTTGGGGAAGGGGAGAGTCAAGTCAATGCACACGAGACCCGCCGGAGTCACTGCGGGAGAGAAGCCCCGGCAACGCCTCGCCATCGGTTAACCTTCAATTAATCCACGACGACCATCGCCGCCTCCGCTTCCAGGAAAGGAGCGTGGCCGCACCGCCCACTCGCTCGCGCGCGCGCACGAAAGAACGATCAAACGGACGCGAGCGCACGGCTGTGCGCGCGCACGCAAATCGGCTCTGCGGCGAGGAGGCGAGCCTTTGACGCAGAGGTCGCAACCGAGTACCCGATACCCGTACCCTACCCGATACCCGGATACCCGTACCCGGCCAGGTACGGTTACGGGTAGCCATTTGCGACCCTGGTGCGGCCGGGTACGGGTAGGCCGTGAGTCACTGATGAGTAACCGTTTGTCACTCATTTCTGGTATGATACGGGTAGGGAACGGGTACCCGTACCTGACCGGGTACGGGTAGGCCGTGAGTCCCCGGTGAGTAACCGTTTGTCACTCACTTCGGGTAGGGTACGGGTAGGGAACGGGTACCCGTACATGGCCGGGTACGGGTACCCATTTGCGACCCTGGTGCGGCCGGGTACGGGTACGGGTAAGGAATCAAAACCCGTTTGCGACCTCTGCTTTGACGAGGGCGAGGCGGCGCGTTGCCATGAAATGAATACACCCTGCAAAGCACATGCCCCCCACCACCATCACATATGCCCCCCCCCCCCCCCCCCCAGTGTACCATTAGCCCCTCGGTTTGCATTTCGCCCGTTGTGCCACGTGCTACACAGCGGCCACACAGCGGCTATCGGCCGCGCCTCCGCCACAGCGGTGTTCATCCGAGCGCTATTTTGGGAGCGAGCGGCATCCTCGGCGTCTTCAGAGAGCGACACGGGGGTGGGGGGGGTGTTGCTCAAACGACAAGGAAGGGAGGAGGGGACCTGGTGGTTTTTCAACATTTTATTAGGCAGTCGATGTGTGTGGTTTTGGCGAATGTGTCGTAGCGTCTGGTAATTCTGCACGTGTGGTCGTGGAAATTACACAATCCCTTGGTGAGGTCACGTCTCCCCATACAAAGGACACTGCTTCCTAAGTATGAGGATTTGGATGGAACAGGCGGCAGCATCGTCTGCAATATTCAGCTCCGAGGGTAATCCTCCTCCACATTGTGCATCACAGTCTGTCGCTGTCCACATTTACACTTTGGGCTGTCATCATTGACTGCACAGTGACCTTATCCAGTGCGGACATAGTTCAGTGGAGCCCAGGCACAGCTACGTGTCCCCAAGTCTCCGTGTCTCCGCGTCTCTATGTCCCCGTGTCCCCGTGTGTTGCCACGTCAAGTGCAATATCTGTTTAATAAAGCCGAGGCTGCGTGTGAAAACCGAATTGACCAGCGCTGGGGTTACTGATAAGAAAATGGCACATTCTGCCCCACACTGAGATATTTCAATCAACACACATACACACGTGCAGAAATATACTAATATACTTGGCCTTTTCGTATTTTCAACAACAAAAACAGTCAAAATTAATAAAATAAAATAAAGATCACGACGTTTCGGAGGCAACACAAGTTTCCGTCATCAGGTGGGACCGTCACAGCCAGATTAGCTGCCCCCCTCCCTCCCGATACGTTCCATTCATTGGCTAGCACATTCTGATGAGCTCCCCCCCCTCTCCTCCCCCCTCAACTCGCTTTTAAGGGATTACATCTTGAATCATTGCCTCACTTGATGCAGCTAATCTGGCTGTGACGGTCCCACCTGATGACGGAGACTTGTGTTGCCTCCGAAACGTCGTGATCTTTATTTTATTTTATTAATTTTGATGTTTTACCTACGTGACTTTACCGAAAAAACCTAAGAA